TGATGTAAATTAGCAAGTGCAAATGGAAGACAAGTATAAAGACTTGAAATGCTCTTTTGCAGGTCTGCCAGCCTGCTCCTGTTAAGAGAGCACCATACACAGACGCCGTCTCAGCAACTCCCATCACACCATAATGATAGGCTGGTTCCCGAGGTTTGGCTCTTGCAGGTAACTGTCTCTTTTGATTAGTGACAACTACTTCCCTTAATGCTTCTTTCAAACTGCAAGAAGACAAAAGTGCAGCAGGCCTTAGAGTATGCGACAGGCTGGGCTGAAATGAGCCCTTCTGCATAGCGAATTGTCTGGGTATCTTTAGATTTGATGAAAATATGCAGCAGCCCACGTATGGAGGGCCTCTCTCTGATTGAAGCCCCACTAAAAAAGTTCTGTTGAGAGAATCAGATGGAGCATTGAGACTGGAATAAGATATGGTTATAAGACCTGTGGAAAAGCTGAACTCAGTTAACATACCTCTTTGCCAAGATCAGCAGTACAAACCAAATATAAATGTTTTTTGATTTTCCTGTAAATGTTTTTTGATTTTCCTGCCCTGGCATCTTCCTCTTCCCTCTTCTCTAGTGTTCCCACTGCATAACCTGGCTATAGAGGCTCCCCCTTCTTGTGCCAGTTCTGGTGCTCAGGAGATCCTTCTGTTTTTTTGCTGGCTCAGTAGAAAGTAATTGGCTTCCCTTTCTCTGGGTTAGTTTTCTGTTGGGTTCATGACTTGGACTGTCTCTCAGAAGAATGATCAAGCCTCAGCACAGCACAACGTGAAGGCAGGATAAGATGGCTGGGGAAAAGCACCTTACCTGTAGCTGCTTAGCAAGTGGGAGAGAGAAATGCTTTAGCAGGAAATAAGAGGAATATGTGAGAGTTAGGCAAGCATAACCGAGACTGCTTTTGCTGTATGCCAGCTGCAGCTGGAGTGTTTCTCTACTAATCACTCAGAGAGGTTGATTAGTGCAGGCCAGACAGGTCAGTGGGCAGCAGCTAGCAAGAAAAAATCCAGGTTACGTTTCAGGCTGCACATGTAGAAATGTTTTCCCAAAGGATAGATGCAAAATTCCAGTTTTCCCCTCACAAAAAAAGAAAGAGGGCTATTCTTAGTACTAATCAATACAAGGACAGGAACAAAACTGCAAAGGTGGGAGGGTGAAGTTAGCTTTTTTACATTTTATTTTATTTTTCTTTGAAACCTCCCTCATTCAGAGCATCAGTAGCAGCAACAGAGTGCAGGGTGCTGTTTGTTTTCCTCTGTCATAAAGAAACTTTTTTTGTACTAGAGAAGACTAAGGGCTAAAGCAGCAATACAGTGAGGAAGCAATATTCATTTTCTCTGTCTCTTAACACTCTTCCTCTGTTATTACCTCTATGAGTTACACTGGAAAGCAGAGATTTTCTTTTGAAAGATTATATCATATTGTGTTTCTCTTCTTTGCAGATAAAAGTCAACGAAGACCCCGCTCTCCCCACTGTTGCAAGCTGGTTCCAACAACCAGTCAATCCACAATTGACTTTGCAAGAGCCAACATGAGACAACAGTAACCAATAAACCCTATGGGGCTTCCTGCTTGAAAGTTGTCACGGAAGTTTCTATTTAAAAGGGTTTGCTATTAGGACTGGAAAATTATTTAAGCAAATGGAGTAATAACAATAATAATTTAAAAATAATAATCAAAAATAAATTGTAGCAGCAGATCTGTAGGTTCTTACAAGCAGGTAGGTTTAGAGATTGTATTTCTTCATGATTTGCTTTAGAAGATATCAGCTAATCCATAAAGTAAAAGCCATGAGTTTACAGCAAGGGTTAAACATGGTCCATATTCTTCCTGTTAGGTCACAAGAGATAAGCCCTAATGCTTTAATTTCATGTGCTAGGAAGATCTCTCTAACATTCAGGGATTCAGAGAATTCTGAGAGCAGATATAGCTGAATTTGATTTTTGCTTTTTTCCCCATCCTGGATGGAACCACCAGGTACCGCAAGATCCTGATTC